TATGTATGTATGCTGTATGTATGTATGTATGTATGTATGTATGTATGTATGTATGTATGTATGTATGTGTGTGTATGTATGTATATATGTATGTATGTATGTATGTATGTATGTATGTATGTATGTACGAAGGAATGTACGTATGTATCTATGTATGTACGTACTTATACACACAGAGAGCTATATTACAGGAAGCGCTTGAAACCCTAAACCATTCACATGGGGGAGCTCGGGTTAACGAGGCTGACAGTGACTGGATATGTACATGTAGCAAGCTCGGGACGTCTCCTTGCCATGCCAGCTTTGAGCGAGTGTGTGAGTCGAAACCATTCACCAAACAAGACATTCAGCATTGGCACAGAAAGACATCAGAGGTAGGCTCGTTTCAGCCAATGATTGTTCGAAGGCATTGACAAATTGCCCCAGCTCGTGGCTGAGTTTGGGCGGAGTCATGCGGCCTGATATCATGGCTCTGTTAGTTAGCATAGGTTTTGGCTGTTTGTGCCAGAATCTTTTAGGGCCTTTACAGAGGTACTATAACTAATTCTCCAGGCCCCCTAATGTGTCCTAACAGAAGCTACAAGCGCGGCCAGGGAGTGAGCATCCTTGAATTCGGCTTAACCGATGAAATCACAGTCGCCTGAGTTCATGTATGCAGCTTCTCCGAATGAACCCGCAACACCCTTTCAGCCAACGATCCAGAGCCATGGCGCTCGCACATGATATTTCGTGCGCGTCGAGCTTCGGCTCCGTTGCAGACGAGCGCGGCAAGGAGGCCCGGAGAAGAGAGAACCCAAAAGCTGGAGTGAGGCAAGCAAACCGAGAAGGTGGGACATTAAAGTTCCAGGTATTTGTGGCTGTCGTGGCGGACATGTAGACCAACAGGAAATGTCCAAGACCAAGAGCCAATCGTGGTCAATCTTTTTTTGTGGATGATGTGTGCAATTATTGAGGTTCGTCGAAGTGTAAAGCCCCCTGCGATGCCAGAAGGCAGTAGTTTAGTTTTCGGTCAGATGCCAGTAAAATGGCTTTAGGCTCACGGACGTTTGCCGCGCATGCAGGCGGAGGTGAGCCCGGTTGAGATAGCAGCTGTGTGGCTGCACAAGGCGGCAGATAGTGTGGTTTCGGCTGATAAACCGTGAGAGGGAAGAGCATTGTTATAATAGGAGGCATTGATGCACGAGTCATTGATGTGGCGGGCAACTTGGAGGCAATTCAGAGAGACTTCGTTCAAAAGAGAAGGCATACTGTAGATGCCACCTTGCGTGGCTATTGATGTTTTCGGTTTCAGAGTCTTCTCGTGACGAAAGAGTCCCAGCTGATAGCTGTTGATTGCAAGCACTTCTTGCAGTAACGGTGAACACCGTCAAGGCTTGTTTAGGTTCTCGAAATAGTCTCCGTCGCGACGAGGCGACGAAAGGGAGTGACAAGTGGCTCGATTGCTGTTCGCGTCGCCAGCTGCAGTACTACATGCTGCGGAGGCTGCTGGTTGCACGTATTCTGCTATTCTGTTGCTGAGTGGTAAAACATGGTTCATTTGGGTTTGACTAAGCCATATGCCATGCAAGTGTTAGTATGTCCAGTGCCCTTAGTACTACTTACTACTTGTAGCCTGCTCGGATGCTTCCACCGTCCAGGTGTTTCGGCTTCCTCTTGAGTCAGACTAGTACATTTCGGATTCGGTGCGATTCGAACACAGGCACACTGTCAGTAACACAACCTTCCTATTCAGCTTCTATGTATGTTTGCTTCATGTCAGATGCCAATGCTGTTATAGAGACAACATGCCCCACACACATACATAAACAACATGTACGTGCATATATTTCCAGGAAGCTTCGGCCACTCACTCTGGCTGTGAAGCATATCTACTTGTTGCTCGCCATCTTTGAGGACTGCTTGCTGCTGTTTGCGGATCCTTTCGGGTTCCAGAAATACGGAGACCCTTACGTGGAACGTCATAAACGTCATAGACCCTGAATAACAATAATAGGGTCTCCGATTTACGGCACCCTCATTCGCAGGGAATCTGCAATTACGAGGTTAAGCGCGAAGCAATCGTGACCGGCAAGGGCCGACAGGCTTCGAAGTCTCGGTTTCTTCGTTGGGGAGAAACCTCTTGTTTCAGGAGCCCTCGTGGTGCTTGGCAGAGAGTTCTGATGCTGAGGATGGCGTGTGCACCTTGGCCGTACGCTCGCCTGCGGCAGCATTAAGACCGTATACATGTTCCTCCATTTCCCGAGTGGGAAAGGTCGAAGTCCAAGCCGCAGTCTTTGGCAGGTCTTGACAAGCCTGGGCTCTACAGCTGGAACCTGCACATCTTGCCAAAGCACGCAGGGATCTCAGCTGCACATGCATATTCCCAGAACAAAATGCATACAGGCCAGGAGCAGCTGTCGATGTGCATGTGTGGTGGTCCAAACCGCAGCACTTGGGCAGCTGTTTTCATGAAGTCGTGTGCATGGAATCCTGCCTGCAAGCTCCTCCCTCAACACACTCGCACCCCCCCCGCACCAGGTATCGAACAGCATCGAACTGCTCTGCCTGTGTTACTTGGTGATGGCGTTCTGGATGCGCAGCCAGTCAGGCCCACGGAGCACGGCTGGACGTAGCCGTTCATTTGTACGTATATGCCCAGACATGCCCACACGACATGTTGCTGTTTGTATACTCGTACATACATACACAGAGAGGTCCATAAATCCAAGTACACACATCCGTATGCAAATAAACACAGATGCTTGTAAGCGTATTGTCTACATGCTTGTCTCTACATGCAGCTTACGCTGCAACGTCGGAGGTTGTTTGTAAGCACATCTTTATGCGGTGGTATGCTGGCGTCAACAACTCGACGTTTCTTGCCGGCGTTTTCAGCCGAGAAGTCTCAGGCTGGCATTCCACACTCGTCCTTAGACCCTGAAGCACGCCGATGTCGTAGAAACAGCGACAAGATGTCGCAAGGAAACTCACAGGGAGAGTGTCTCCGGGACCTTCTGCAATTAGCTTGCGCAAAATCTAGAGTGCTAGAGGTTGCAAGACTAGTGGACGGCTCTACCGTTCTTCACAGGAGATGGCCCCTTTCGCAGATGGTGGCATCTGGTGCGGAAGGCGTACCCTGCACAATGATCTGCGATGATCTGAGTGCAGCGTACATAGATCTACAGCCCATCGCTGAGCCTCGACAGGTGCTCGTGAGCGTCGCCATTGCAGACTGCATCGCGGCCATGTTCCTCAGATAAACCCACACACTGTCTAACATCCGTGGCCCAATGGCATAGGGGCCTCATTGTGCCAGTGAATCTCCTGAATGGCAACCTTCGACGCTGTCCGATGCACCTTGAGAGCCTGATGGTTTCTGATTTTAGGCAGCGCACATGCACCAGTAGCAAACACCAAGGGGGAAGGAGGGCAAGGGGGGAAGCATGCAAGTTCAGCTTAATCTGCTGAACCGATGTTGGCTCCATCAATGTTCCCTTGCCGTCTGCGGCACCACCCCGTAGAAGCCGACAGGTTGGATGCACTATACTGGCACGACCCCGAGCATGTGTGAAGCATGAACCCTGAAACATCAGAAAGAAAACCCCGAGCGCGTCAACATGGCAATCGCAACGATTCTTATTTCCTATTACCATGCTGCCAACCTCGTGGCCCCGCCCTACTTAATTGCAGGACTGGTCCCGAAGACCAGCTGCCAATGGCAGCCAGATAAGAGACGGCCACCCAATTTTTCATACTCAGCTCCTACAGGTTTGAAGCACTCGGCTCGGAAACAGTCGTGGGCACTTTCATGAATGAATCCTCACGTGTAGACCATCACTAAGTGTATGACGTCGAAAGCGGCTGCAGAGGCCCAGCAGCAACTATGCCGTCCTTTCATGCTCCCGATGCACAGGATGGTTGACGCGCATGCGGGCACGCAACCCGCACACACACCCGCGTGCGCATATTGGCAACATGCAAGCATGTATGTATGTATGT